TGCCATAATAGTTATTTGCACAAATCCGAATTCCTCTAGTGTCTTAGTCCAAAGAAAAAGAAGTAACCCATCTATCTAATCATGCTATCTTTCATCTACAAAAATATACTCCTAAGTTAAAATATAAAATATAACACCCTCAGCCTGGCATCTTAAGCCCTCTGCAGTATAAGTTCTCTCCTAACTTTCCATTCTCACTTATTACTCCCTTTCATTCACTCTCTTCCTGTCAAACTGGTCTGTTAGCTAACTGTTCCCTGCAAATGATAATCCATCTCTGGCCTCATCACCTTTACACAGGTGTTTCCCCACTCTCTCCTACCCCTACCATGCCTGTAATACACACAACTTTCCTCAAGGAATTCCTAATTTCTTTCAAAATATAGCTCATGTGCCCTTTCTTGATTCTCCCAGTTGTTAGTTTTTGTCTCCCTCCTTAAGTTACTCTGTGTGTGTGAGTGTTTCTATATGCAGATATAGATCTATCCGCACACATCCATCATTGTATTCTCCACAGCAGAATGTAAACTTTAAGGGCAAAGATTTTTGTTTGTCTTTTAATCTACAGGACCTGGATTATAGTATACAAGAGGCACTATATTTGTTGAACAATGTTCATCTGTCTGAAGAGGTTTTGGGGGTATTGGGACCCCAAGAATGCCAAGGTAGTTTCCTGGAATGAATTCACACATTCAAGACTCCCCCAAACTTCTTCACGTCCATGGGACATAATACTTAGAATGCAAAAGAAATCTGTGAAAAGTAATAATAATAAGTCATTATTTAAAACCACTGGTATCCCATTTGATTATCACAAAAATCTTGTGAGGTAAACAGCAAAAATATTATTTTCCCAGAGGAGGAAACAAAGGCACAGGAAAGGGAAATAACATAATCAATTCAATTGTGAAATGTCTCTGATAACAGGGACTAAATCATTTCTTTCTTTGATCTCTCTAGTACCTAACTTAGGGCTCTACACAAGGTCCAAGGTCATATTTTGTATCACCCCTGAGACACAAATCTAGGTTTCCCCAATTCTGATCTAGATCTCTGTTCTTTGCCAGCAATGTGCCATCCATGCTCCTACCTAAACCCTTTTGTGAATAGAGCACATTTTCATGAAAGCTGAATGGAATCAAGAAACAGTCGGAGGACTAACGTGAAACCACCTAACCAACAAAGTTGTGGACTTTTCCTCACAAGCTCATAAATTATCATGGCTAGGCAAGAGTCTAGTCCAAGAGTCCCCAAACTATAGCTCAAGGGCCAAATACACCTGCAGGATTACCTCTTTTTACATGGCCAGCAAGCTAAGAATTGTTTTTGCATTTTTAAATACAATAAAATTTCATAATGTGAAAATTTTTCTTAACTCACAGCTGTACAAAAACAGGCAGGAGCCATAGTTTGCAGACTCCTGCGCTAGTCTGTGGATTTTTAAACTCGGATCCTTTTAAAAAATTATTTTAATATACTTGGGTAACTATATTTCAATATAATAATTGGTTTCTTTTCTAATGCCATGTATTCTATTTCATGCGCTTAAAAACATTATTCTGAAAAGGGACTGTTACACTTCACCAAACTGCCTTAGGGTCCATGACAGGAAAAAAGTTAAGAATCCATAGTCTCCAGTCCAATTCCAACATTTTACAAAGAAGAAAACTAAAGCTCAGAGATGGCAATGATCTGACCAAATTCACACTGTTATTGATAGCTGTTAGTATGAAGCTCTAATTAGCTCGAGCCTTATTTCTTCACCTATAAACTATGGACAACCAAGCACTTTGGGCCAAGTCACTGCTGAACTCACATTTTCAATGAAACCCCACAAGTCAGGCTGGCCAATTATTCAAATGTCTGATTTTCGAGTTAGTACCATTCATTCTTTCACTCGAACATTTATAATGTGTGACTACATGGACTACAGTGGACTACATGGGAAGAAACTCTTATGAAGGTATATCTTTCCTGCCTACAAAGAGGTAGTGGGTTGAATTGCAAATATCTAATAATTCACTGGTTTGATATTCTCCATTCTGATTTGTCACCTGGATGTGGAACTGCTGGAAGAATACAGAGGGCGATGCTGATGATGAAGCATCTTCCCCGACAGTCACCAAAGAGCTAAATGAGGCATTGCACATATTTTACAAGGTTCTCTCAAAAATTACAGGATTAAAACACTGAAGTCCAGTTCTGATTAGACACTGAGAGCATTTTTAGAAAAGATTTAAGTTAGTAACACAGTAAAGCAAAAAATGCATTAAACTGGCACTCAGGAGACCTGGGTTCTAGTCTCTGCTGCAAAATGTTGGGCAAATCACCCTCTAGAGACAATAATACTATGTTATGTGACAGGATTAAGGAAAGGATAAGATGAAAAAAGGAAATACAGACAAAGGAACTTTGAAAACCTGGATGCTTGGTTTTAGGATGATTCAACTGAAAGATGCTAGGCCACCCAGGGTGGCTGAAAGGTTTCCAGGCATACAAGAAGAGTGGGCTAATACAAAACCCAAACTCACTAGCCTCTTCCAAATACGATCAGTTCCCCAAGTTACCCCAATGTGGCTGGGGCCTGGGAAAGTCAGAGGAATTGGTGTTTCACTTTGTTTAAAGAGACAATGTCATGATGGGGGAAAAAATATGTAGCCTATTCTTGAACAGAATTTCGGTTCTTGGCATCACATTCTGGAGTACACAGTTAATCTTAGTTGACTATAGGATTATCCTCTCTGAGCTAAGCAAGATTCCTCTACCCATTAGGTTAGGAACTGACCCACTCACAACCAAAAGCTCATCTGAAAGAAACTGGTGATCATGGATCCTGCCAAGTCCTTAAAAACTGTGGAGAAGGGTGTGTATCACTAGATCACTAACACTAAAATCTGAGGAGGTATTCATAGAATCATGGGGTGTCAGAACAGAAAAGGACCTTAAATACCACAAAGTCCAATGCCCTGGCTGAGATCCAAAGAGGGGACTTACTCAAGGTCATAAAATGAGCTAGAGACAAAGCCCAGGCTAATTTAAGGAAGGTAGATCTTTTTTTTTTCAATGTTTCTGACCACACCCACCAATATGTAAATGACTTTGACCAAGGAGTAGTAATTCATTTTCAATTTTCCATAGAAAGTATATTTGGGATAAAGGAGTCCAGAAGCATTATTTTTCTAAGTGCACAAGACACTCATATACACACCCTTCTCCTTTGCTCCTATCTTTTTCTTTCTTGCATTAGTTATTTGTTTAACTCTTTCCCCCCTTAGATGGTAACATTGACATACTATCAATAGACAACAGTCTGTTTTTATATCTGTCTTTATATCCCTAGTGCCAAGCACAGGATCTTGCATGTGTGTTTGTGTGTGTATACACACACATACACATAGGTATGTATATATGCATACACACGTATATTCAAGTAGAGGGAGAGGAAGAGGTAGAAGCAGAGAGGGAGAGAGAGCACGACCATGGTTAAAACTTCCTCATGGAGACACCAAATAAGATTTTGAGGTTTTTTTAATGTCTTTCAGCAATTCTAACAGCTGCAGCTTGCAGGCCTAAGCTATTCCTTCCAGTCACCCAGCAGTTATCACTCCAATAGGTTATCCTCATTAAGGGGGGGGGGACACGACGACGACGACGACGACAATGTGGCTTTGAGTAGAGTCATTTCCCCTTGAACATTTCTCCCTCCTCCAATTATTCACTTCAGTGAATCCCTCCAGGTACTAGCAACTATGTAACTAATTCACAAATCTAAAAAATACTGGAATATTTAGAAGAGCAAATCTTGCCTGATAATTCTAGGGACTTCTTTCACATAAGAAAAACCACATTAGGCACAAGGAAAACAAGATTTCGAAAATGCAAATAGCCCTGCACAGGAAGCCAGGAGACCCAGGCTGGAGACGTGGTCTGGCTCAGAACAGTGTGACCTTGGGCCAATCTTTTTTTCTTCTTGGGCCTCAGTTTCATCATCTGGGACCAAAAATGGGGTTAAAAGTGATTATCTCTAGGATCCCTTCTCTCCCTAACATAGTATAATCTGCAAGCTAAAATATTCCTGTTTCCATAAAGGTAGAATCGCACTAGGTTTCACTGCAGACCATGTGGCCTGCTGTCTGTGTAGCTGTTGTGACTGGGCCGCTGTCAAGCGCCACTGCTACCCAGGGACAGCCTTAGAGAAAGCCAGGCCAACACCGATTAACCCTGTGGGCATATTTTAATCGAAGAAGCGCCAAAGAGTGAGGGATAGCTTTCAGACAAGGAGGGAAGAACAAGGGGTCTGTATCCACGGGGTGCTCTGAGTAACGGAATATTAGCACCAGAAGCCCGGCTAGAGGCCAAGCGCAGGTAGGGTTTGGGTGCCCCCGGCTGGGGATGTGCAGGAGAGAGGGGAAGCAAGAGGTGAGAGTGCGGTGGTCCAGGCCCGGCCGACAACGCGGTCCGCACGCGCGGCCCGGCAGCTTCTGGCCGGGAAGGTCACGTCCCCAGCAGCGCTGCGTGGCGTCGCGCCCGGGCCTGCCAGCCTCCCTCCCCACCGCGGGCCCCTATCTCGGGCAGCCCCAGGCAAGGTCTCTAGGAGCACGGGCGCGAGGCTAACTGGGCCAAAAAAAAGGGGCGCCGACATGGGCCCCTCCCTAGCCCGGGCCGGGACTCCCAAGGGGTCAGCGGTGACAGTGCAGCACGGTCAGTCCGGTTCGGGCACCGCAGCCCCACTCATCCCCTGCGCCCCCATGCCCCGGCCGGGTCGGGCTGGGCTGTGCCGGGCTAGGCTGGGCTGAGTTGTGCCCGCGGCCCCCCCGCCCTAGACCTCAGGCTCAGGCTCCAGGCCAGCTCGGCCGGGGCAGTGGCTTGGGCAGCCGCAGCCGAAAGCTCTGCACGAAATCAGCAGCCTCCGTGGATCCGTGCCCTAGCCCTCACGCCTCTGGAGCACAGGAGAAGGGTAGTTGGCGGGGATGAAGGGAAATGGGGGGGGGGTCCCCTACCTTCCTCTCCCGGCGGACACAGCGGTAGCAGCAGCGGGCGGCGGACACAGAGGCAAAGGGGCGGCAGCGGCTGCGGGGGAGCGGGGCGGGGCGCGGACCACGGCGGCGGCGCGGGCCCGCCCCCGGGTGCGGGCTCCTCCGGGCTCCGGCTCAGTCTCCTCCCCTTCATCCATTTTTCCTTTCCCGCCTCCCTCTCCTCCTCTTGTCCCCACCCTTTGCTTCCCTTCCCCCTCTCCCTTTCCATCCCCCCTCCCAGTTTCCTTTCTCCATCTGTCCCCTGACTCTTGTGGCCAGTTAGAATGGCTGCTTTTGATGTGTGTGCACTTATGTGTCTGTCCTTGAACATGTGTGCTCTCCTGCTCTGCTCTCATTTCCACAAGCGCTTTGCATTTTGCAGAGGACTTTCCTCACAACCCCATGTGGTAGATAGGCAAGGATTATTATCCTCCATTTTATGGATTAAGCTCAGAGAAGTTAGATGTCTTGCCCAAGGTTTCCAAAGTAGTGAGTGGCAGAGCCTTTTTTGCAATCCACACCAAACTGCCTTTCCTATTAAGCAGTGTACATTATCTTAGGCCCACAAATTTAGATCTAAAAGAAATCAATCACCCTGAATGAAAAGAGAAAAATCAGTACTTTGAAAATCACTATTTAACTCTGAACTCTGTTATTTGCTTACCTGTATGACCTTGGACAAATCACTAAATCTCACTAGGCCTCAGTTTCAACTTTGGGAAAAATGGAGATTTGGCCTAGATGACTCCTAAAGTTCTTTCTAGCTCTAAATCTTCAAGGAAGGAGCTCAGTTTTTCCAGGAAGTTCTCAAGATTCTGAGCCACAAGGCTAATTCTTGATCTCTCCTGTGTATTTTGCATTTTAACAATTTTGTGTTCTCCTGTTCCACCTTCGGAAACCAAATTAAGTTATGCTAGGGTCAGTGCATCTGAGGACAGAGGAAATAATCCTAAATGTGACCAATAACTACTATGTCCCCTTGCAGCATATACTTTTGCCTTGTGCTTCACCAGGTTCTGACTTCACATACCCTGTGACTAAGGGGCTATTTGGGCTCCTTATCCTGTAGAGCTTCCAAGAACTAGACTCTTCATAACTTAAGATGGGTTGGGGTCATTGAATCATCACTGAGATTGAGCCAGAAACCATTGTTCTGCCTTTGAGTTCCAATATAAGAAATGGTCAACAAATCCTTCTTTGCCCAGTGAAGCCCTTTTTAGGGCTGCAGGTTCTGAACATCAGTAATCATGTCCTAGGACTTAAAATACGTATGTAGAAAGTATAGGGGATAACAACAATAATAATAACTGACATTTTGTATTTCCTTATAATACTGGTAATGGAGGAAGGGGGGAGTGGGAGAGGGTACAACCCAAGACTCCGGGATAACATGCAATAAACAGGTTCTCTAAACATAGATAAAATAAGACAGCTCATGCCTTCAAAGGACTAGCAATCACAATGTATCTAAATACCCCATTTTATCTTAGGCAGAGAATATCTCTACAATGTATCTTCTATCTCTAATACAACAGTTAGAAATAGTATCTTGTTTACTACCACAAAAATTAATTTATGATGTTTCTTGTTTCTATCCTAGCTCCCTATTACTCAAACAGAATACCAGGGTAAGAAGAGGCATTAGAAATTACTTAGTTCATCCTTCTTATTTGATGATGGGGAAACTAAGGCATTGAGGAGAGTGATGCCCAAAGGCAGAAAGAGAATTAGCTGGGACTAGAACCCAGGTCTCTTGCTTCCTGATCACTTTTTTTTTGTAAATAGTATTTTTTTCCCAATTACATGCAAAGATTGTTTTCAACATTCATTTTTATAAGATTTTTCAGTTCCAATTTTTCCCTCCCCTCTATCCCCTCCCCCTCCCCCAAACAGCAAGCAATCTGATATAGGTTATACATGTGCAAACATGTTAAACGTACTTCCACATTAGTCATGTTTTACAAGAAGAAACAAAACAAAAGGGAAAAACCACAAAAACAAAAAAAGTGAAAATAGTATGCTTCAATCTGCATTCAGACTCCTAGTTCTTTCCCTGGAGGTGGATAGCATTTTCTATCATGAGCCTTTTGGAATTGCCTTAGATTGTATTGCTGAGAAGAGTGTCAAAGTTGATCATTGAACAGTGTTGCTGTTACTGTGTACAATGTTCTCCTGATTCTGCTCACTTCACTTAGCATCAGTTCAAAGTCTTTCCAGTTTTTCTGAAATCTGCCTGCTCATCATTTCTTATAGCACAATAGTATTCCATTACATTCATATACCACAACTTGTTCAGCCATTCCCCAATTGATGCGCATGCCCACAATTTCCATTTCTTTGCCACCTGGTCACTCTTAAAGCTCAACAGGACACTCTTCATTCTTTGACCTAAAATTTAGGCACTGCCTCTAAAGCTGAAGTCACATTTCTATCTCTTGAAGTGTCATGTAAAATACAGCATAGTATAGTGGAAATAGCAGCGGACTTGCTGTGAGAAGACCTGGGTTTGATGCTTACCAGCTACGTAACCCTGGACAGATCATTCCCCCTGCCTGGACTTCAGGTTTCTTATCTGTGAAATAGCAATAATTACATTTGCAATGCCTGCCTCATGCCTTACAAGGTTATTAGAAAAGCGCTTTATAAATGTTAATGCACCTTTAATGGAGGTAGACTGGCCTAGCCACTCCTAATATACATCATGGACTAGTAAGGCTTTTAAAAAATTGTTATGGACTCCTTGTCCATGGCTTCTTTCATTACCCAGACTGACTCTAGCCCAAATCAGTGACCTTGGGCAAGACCCTTCCTCTGTGGGGAGTTCTCTTTGGTTTAGGATTTGAGAGATTAGGCTGAGCTAATAAGCACATACTCCTACATCAATTGGTGAGGGGCTGGTTTAGACACTCAACTTTAGTGCAAGTACTGGATTTGGAATCAGAAGACCTAAATTCTAATCCTTGGCTTAATTCTCTCTCTCTCACTCTCTCTCTCTCTCTCTCTCTCTCTCTCTCTCTCTCTCTCTCTCTCTCTCTCTCTCTCTCTCTCTGTCTCGGCTAGTTTCCTCCATCATCTATAAAAGGATTAGAATAGATTATCTCTATGGTCATTTCCATCTCCATATCCTATGAGCAATGAAATAAATAACTCTGCACCCAAACCAAATTTTACTACTTTTTGCCCAGACATTGTGGCCTTCCCTCAAACCACTGTACCTTTGCATAGGCTATTACCTGTCTCTGGAATACCCTACCTTCTAGTATTCACCTGTTGAATACCTACATTTTTTTAAAAAAACAAAATTCAGAATCAGAAAATCTGAATAGAAAGAAACCTCAAAGACCATCCTGACTAAGAATTCCCTCTACAATATCCCTGACAGGCAACCAACCAATTCCTACTTAAATATTTCCAGTAAAGAAAAGTCTACCATCCTTGGACCTAACTCCTATACACCTACAGTCTTCTTGTTCTACTTTTAAATTGCTCTAATTCTCAGGAATTTAGCAATTTTGTTACTGCTTGGTTCAACTTAATATACTCGAAATACTAAAATGGAGTGATATCATAGAAATTGGGGAGTTCCCTTATATAATATAACTAGAAATCCATCCATGCCTGCAAGACTCATCCACGGTCTCCCAAAATTTCATAGTAGGGGGTCCATCTAGCCTTTGGTTTACTTGACAAATGGAGTGAGATGACTGATAAAGACAACACCAGGCTACAACATATGCAAAATCATAAGACGTGTGATGGAAACTTATGAGCTACATCATCTCATAGAGTGGAGAGAAACAGTGGATGATAAAACCAGTTTAAAGAAAGTATAGCAAGACATAGATAAACAAAATAATCCCAAGGACATTAAAGGAAAGAGAACTACAAGCAGAAGAAAATTTTTAAATAAACTTTAAAATAATAGCTCACCATTTTCCAATGAAATCCTAATTCTTGATCTTATTCATAGGTTGAAATGTTTGTGTTTGCTGATACTTGTTAAATTCATAATTTTAAAAATAGCATTATTTTGAAAAGAAACCTGTCTTCTCTATTATTTCCACCTATTGTTTCTAGTCTGTCCTGTGGGCCCAAGAAGAGCAAGTCTAATGTTTTTTCCCTAAGACAGCTCTTCAAATACTTAAAGAGAGGGGGTTTTTTGCCTAAATTTTCTCTTCTGCAGACTAAATATTCTCAATTCCTTTGATTGATCCTTGTATGCTATGATGTTAAGGCACTCAAATTTAATTTGTATCATCCTTTTAAGCCTATCACTTTCTTCAGGAATTGATTCTACTCATGAGCAATGATCTCCCCCTCACACCTCACATAAATATTTTGGTTTATAACTCTCTAATGTGCTTATTATGAAGGATTATAGATAAAGGCCATCTGTATTAGTGGCTAATCACTCTCTTAACCTTCAAGTTCCATTTAGTACCACGACTGTGTCTTGTCAAAAACCTTGCCCCAGGGCTGCCTATTTAATAAATATCCCATACCAATGGTGATTGGTGATCTAAAATGCCTTTGAGGAGATAAGCAAATTCAAGAAATAACAATACTTGATCAGAAAATTGCTGGATAAGCTGGAAAGACCTGAGATCTAGGTGTCCCAAATATACATATTCAAAGATAAATATCTGGGATGGGGAAAAAAGGGCCATCATGGCTGGCCCTGGAAAATTCTTTTTAACTTTGGGAGGCCAGTATTTAGACATCAAGGAGAAGTTAAAAGATAACCCTAGGCTCCTGTAGGAAGTTGACTCCCAACAGGTATCTTCAGAGTAAAAATTGAATTCAAAGACATTTAAATATCTTTGAGTGTATCTGATCTGTCATCTGAGCATGTGGCCATACCATTACACCCTCAACCAGAGGATTTGGAGGGGAGGTCACCTCCATAGATGCCATTCATGTAACATATTTTGTTTGCATTTGCCAGTGACTATGTCTCTGTGAGTATAGGTGAGAATTAAAAAGTAATTTAATTACTGTGAAGATGGGGACGTTTTTTCCCCCTTTCTATCCTCAGAAGCTGAACGAGTGATGCTGCCTTCTTTCCCCAACTACCTTTGCACAATGAATCATCC